ACAGTGAATTGTAGACTCACGTTGTCGACCGTGTTTTTAATGTAATATAGTTTCAAGATTCCCTTTGGTTTAATGCAGCATCACTTGTGTTCTGTTTGATGACCTTAAGCAACATGCAATGGTCTCCCCAAAACAAATATTAAATGTATAATTCAGCGTATCAAATAGAAAAATAAATCACCTAAATGTTGTATTAAGTACTGCCAGTGGTGGACTGTACCTAAGTACATTTACCACATACTTGTATTTTACTTGACTATTATCTTTGTATGCTTCTTTACACTCCCATAAATCATTTTACATAAAAACAAACATGTCATAGGACAAAAATAAAGTCATAGGACTTTTCAAATATATATATATATAGATTGTGGCATTTAAATATGTCGTGGGCCTAAAATGATCCAATATTTCACCAACAAAAGGCAAAGATCAGACAAGATTCTTAAAAATAATACAGATTTGTGTAGCAGAAGTTTTTCTCTCTTCATCTGCTGACCCCTCAAATGTATCTTGGGACCTTTTGTTGGGTTCACTGGACTTAACTACAAACTCAAATGTACCAACTACAACAACAAATTGTTACTTAAGCATTGATGCAACAGTAAACTATTTAGTATGTATAATATTCCAGTCATAGGGGACATTTTTTTCCGAACATGTGTTTATTTATAGTACTGAACTGATAATAATGTGCATTTTAATGCTGATATTTTATAGTTCTGAATTGTATTTTACTTACAATCTAAACACTTCTCCATCCCCTGCTGAGCTTTTTATACATTTACAGTTTAAACAGCTCCAGGAACACTTTCCCCCGGAGCTTTGTTTCTGTTTGTCAGCTCAGTTTCTCTTCTTCAAGGAACAATTTCCAAATGTAAAAAACAATGTTTTACATTTCTGTTCTCTTTGAGCAAGCGCTTCCTTTATCAACAACCCTGTGGCATTCCTGAATTCCAATTAAAAGAACATTTTGTGCCGCTTTAAAGTCCCATTAAAACATCACATGGAAACATTTAGCGTGTGCATCTGATAGAATTGAAAATAATCTCATCAAATTGTGTAATCCAAGAGATTAAATCACTCTTCATATTACATGGCTTAACACAGATAGGGAAGGTCATAAAGAGTTACGGCTGGGTACTTTGAACCATTTACCATATTCCTCAACCGCCAGTCTGACAGGAGTACAGAAACACTATTGTTTCATTCATTTAAATGAGATCCCATGACTGTTGTTGTTGCAGATGAATTATGTATGCAGTGCTGTGCTGATATGTCATAGACGTCGTCTCTCTGGGAATGTAGGACACATACTTATGCATAACAATAGTCTTCAGTTATATTCTCACCAACAAATTGGCCGTTTATCTCCGTTCATCTTGTGCTTATTTTACGCAGCTGCCGTGGAGAAATCAGGTCCATTACCAAGTGGCGGTTACTGTATTCAAATATGCGGGATTGTTGCCCCAGTACTTTCACTAATTCTCTTTTCTTAAAAAAAACAGAGTCATATGCCTGTCAGGGACATTGTACAGCTGATAACCGCATAGCCTATTTAAATCAACTCTGATAGTCTTGTTTAAATCATCAATTGTTCATCATAAATGTTTCCTGAGGTTTTTGTCATGCTTTCCATCTCTCCAGACAATAATTGACATATTGGCTTGTTCCCCAATGGGCCTGTTATACTGGTCCGCCTCAAAAAACAATCAATCCATAAACTGACTACACAAAGAGATGCAAAACCGGATGTGTGATATGGTTTTTCAAAAGCTGATACAAAGCCAGTTCTCAAATATTTTCACATCTAAGTCATCCATTACTAATGTGGATTTATTTTGATTCAGATGCAAAACAGGTGAAACTTTTCAGACATGACTGGTTAAAAGGCTATCATGATTCTATTCATTTGCTAATTTGACATATATTAAGTAACGTAATTGTGAGTTAGTGTCAAAATAAGTAAGAAAAAAAAGGATCTATGAGTATAAAAATAAATATTGGTTTCACATGTGATAATAGATCATGAATATTCCAGAGAATAACTATCATTTCATTTCATATTAGTGTTATTATTATGTGTATTGTTTACATCAAAACCTAAATAGATATGGTTTAGCCTAGATAGACGATCATTAATAGCAATATTGTAAAATGCAATAATGAGACCCTTTATTCCTCTTTCAAAAAAGCATATCCTTGTGTAATTTTGATTTTAGGTCACATAATAATACACTAATGACCAGTGTGTATAATCATGCAATATACAGTCTTGCATTGGGCCATTAAAAAGCCTGTCGATATCTCAGATACAATTCAGGAGAAAGATATAAATTGGATACGCCTACGTTGGACACATGCCCTGTACACAGTCCTAATGTCAATAATACAGTAGGTTGTAATGTGTCATATTTTATATTTAAATTATCAGTATTTTCCGGTTAATGTTACTGTTTTCTGAATGATAAATAATTAGTAAAGTCTTAGTATTTTTAAGGCCGGTGCACCGCCGCTGTTGAGCCGGATCGAGGCACCCCTCGGCCGGTCGGATCCCCTCTCCTCCGGCGGGGAAGCCTGGAGATCCCCGGCCCGCTGAAGTCGTTCCGCTTGGGGGAAGCCCTGCCTCAGGGAGACGGTCGACAAAACACCAAGAAGAAGAAGAAGAAGCTTCTGAGGCTATTCTGTTTTGTTTAACATCCTCAAATGCGATGAGAGGATTAATGGAGCGCGTCTGCCGGACCCATATGGCCGCTTGTGCTGAATTAAAACCGAATGGATACTCGGGGGCCCCGGTCCCCCTGCTGCACGAACGCTGATTTACTGCTCTCTGCTGACATTATCGAACCTGTTGAAACTGGGAATGTGGCTCTGGGGTCGAGAAAAATATTTGTAGGCCTACAGTTCAGGATTATTACCAGAAAGTGATTGTGTGACATTTCCCAGTCACGAGTAATTTAAGAACTCTAATATTTATGGGCATAAGGAAAGGACCTTTTATAGGTTCGACAAAATATCTCACCAATAAATGATGGCCAATATTGCTGAGATTGCTATTTTTTGTTTTTTCTCTCAACAACACACGTTTTTTTTTAATGATTTTGTTTGTCTCAGTGTTGTTTTTATTTAGGTCATGGTTTTAGGTTGCCAATTTCAACTTGATAGGCTATAACATGTTGCAACACGATATAAAGGCTTGTGCCAACTCCAAATTCTTATTTAACCATTTAGAACAATATTATATTTTAAAATAATGTAGGCCTATCAACAATCATCAACAACAAACCAAATATAACCCACAATACTATTTGTTAGAGTATTGTTTGTCGCTCTGTAATTGTGTGTCATTTTGTGCTAATTGGGGGTCAAATAGACAACAAAGCACTTCAACTGCAGCAGAGTCATGGCAGAATTATTAGAAGCTTTCTGACGTCTCGTCACATCCTAATTAGTCCGATAGCACGAGCCTTCTTCTTCTTTAATCCATGCACGAGCCCCCGGACCTGCTCACCCTCAAACTCTCTCTCCTTCAAACCCCGAAGACTTTTTGGCTTTGTGTCCTATGAAATACATGCAGCACTAACAATCCCTGCAACAGATGTGTGACATGGATTTTGATTGAGATGGAAAAGAGTAAACATTTAAAGCTGAATGATGCGTTTATAATTTACTTGATAAATAAAGTTTAAACTGAACCTTATCATTGCTTCTCTCAAATGTATTTATTTTTTAGAAAATGAAGTGTTACCCACTTTATATGGATCCGATATTGGGCGTTTGTTTGCCTTTATGTCCACTTTTCTGCTGTTTTTCTTTACTGTATAACTATTTAAACTCGTCTTTGCTCCACTCTTGAGCTGCAGAGCTCATTTCATATCTCTGCGTGTGAACTGGCCAGCGTTGCGCCCTGCACCAAAGGGCAGCCGTCAATAAAAATGTTGGATTATCCTCTTTATGAGACGGGATTAACGCAGCTCTCACATAATTCACATTCCTCCCTGCCTGGACAGAAATCAGGCCCGTGACTTAGAATAAATACTTTTTAAAGTAGGCCAATTATAATGTTATGTTGGGGACCATCACAGAGATGACATTTGGCATATATGAAGACACTTAATTTACGTTTTACGACAAACCAAAAACCCCAATTGTTGGTGAAATTAGATTGATTCATGGTTTGCTGTCGTGTTGTGGTGTGTTGTGTAGACACAGTGATACAAAGAGAAAAACACAGAACATTTAGTTGGATTTGTGTCAGGTCAAGTGATCTTTATTATTTGTTCGTGTTTGTGGCCTTCACGCAGCAGTACAGCTCAGATGGACCTTGCTCGCTGCTGGTTTGATTTGCTCTGCACTTCCCCTTTAATTTAACTAATATCTCCTCATAATAATGTATCATTTAACACTCGAGACATGGGGATAAATCTACCAAATTCACAGCTGGGAAACGCGAGAAAAAATTGCATACAGGTAGTACAAAGAATCACCATTTTTTTTTTAAAGAAATCTAACACGGGAAAAAAACAATTCAAAGAAACACATAGGGGACATTTATGAGCACACGCAAATGGACTGATTGTCTCTTATAACTAGTTTTAAACATATTTCTCATAAATTAATAGTGCATCCAGGTTCATGTCAGAGCTGCTCTCTCTCACACACACTCTCTCTACAACACACACTCATGCACAACGCTTTGATCAAAGGGGCCCTTCAGCGTGCCAACAAAATAAAAAAAAGACAAGAGAGGGGAGTCTTTAAGGAGCTTAGAAAAAACCCTGACTTATTCCTCCATCTCAACCATCTTTTGATCCTTTTTTTTCCTTTTGGTCAACACATTTGTTCCGTGTCCTTGATCAAAGTTGGGGAGTAGTCAGTCTGAATGTTCAATAAGTTAACCCAACAAGTGAGACAACCGGCTGGCAGTCCTGTTCTGCTCTGCCCGAGGTAGACGTTGGGGCCTGCATGGGGGGGGGG